AAAAAGTAAATTAAACACAAACATTTATGTTTAAGGTCCCTTTGGCTCACACTGCCAAGTTGTTAAGTGCCTATGATGCAAGTCCTGTAAGGGTGTGAGATATAGGTTTGGTGAGAGCACTCTTCTATTCTCTAGCTCCGAAAGACTTTCTTTTGCTCCACTTAAGCTGTCATTTTGATACCTCATTTTTTTCTGATTGATTTCATGGTCATTTTTACTGTACTTTTAATGCATATTTTGTTTAAATATACTGCTTGACACAATTGTGCAAGAACCTTCTCACACTTCAACACCAAAACAAAAAATTAAGGAGGCTCAGGGAGAAGAAAGGCATGGTGGAGCTTTCTCACACCAACAGTACATCTTCAGATGTGTGAACTCTGGCAGCAGGGACAATTTCGAGATCTTACCAGTTACTTTCATGCAGATGCTATAAGCAATATTCAATCAGCTTTCCTCTGAAGCTAGAAAGTTCAGTGGGGGTCAGTGGATGAATGGTCTAACCAGGAACAATGATTCATTTTAGTAGCTATAGTAATTTCTACCTTTTCTTTAAGAAACAAGCTATAATTTGTGGGGTGATATGACTGTGGGCAAGAGTCTTTGCTTCAGTGCTCTATAATACGAAGAGAAAGGCAAATCAGAAGCAAATACATGCATTTGTGTTCACTTACCAAGCTGACAAGCATGTATAACTCCATCTGTTTTGCCAGAGGCTGGAATCATTGCTTGCTTCTACAGCTCTCAATGCCTACTCCCTCTGACCTTTTTGACAACTGCTGGCCCAGCATAGATTATAATTGAATATTAAGTTGTCCCTTAGTAATACACTAATTTTATAAACAAATTTATAAAACATGTACACAACAGCACAAAACTTGATTAAAATAGCCACCTGTTTGCCCATTCAACAAACACAACTTTCTCCTGCAAAACCAGGCAGACACAAAAAGAAAAGTGCACACGCTATTATAGGCGAGTCTTTCTGCTGTCTAACAATGAAGGGTGTCTACTTCATAATAAACCTAGATTCTTCAGCGTTCTATAATACTAATAAAAAGAGAAAGCAGCCATGATAATACTTTTTATAAATGAACCCTCCAAAACCCACAGCTTGGGCATCCTATTATAAGGACCAATCAAAACGGTGCAAAACAGTGACATTCACATACTTCAGAATTCTTCATTAGATGGGAGGGTGATGCGGAAAAATAAAAAGCACAAAATTAGACCCAGTGTTGTAGCCATAAGGTCAGCATCTAGACTCGCTTCCAAGATGGAGATGGCAGAGCAAATCTCTGCTAGGTGCTGTATCAGGTTACATAGCTACAATTGTGGGATAAAGAAGCAACAGTCATTCCCCATTTCGGAAAACACAATGGCTGGCTATTATCCAGATTTGTCCCACGTTTTAAGTGAAACTCAGAGTTAGGAAGAGAGCAGGAACAAAGAGCAATGCCGCAGTCTGTACACTAACAAAGACGGCAAATTCTTTTGAGTGGTCCAAGTTGTTTAACAAGGGCAAGCCACATGGAACATTTTACTCCAACAACACAAGTGGTTCCCAACAGACCTAATTCAGTGCTGGGTTTGATCTCTAAAGCCTGAAACAACCTGGGTCCTGGATAGTAGTTCATGGTCCATCTTCTCCCACTGGAACCTGCCCAGCGTCTCTCAGGCCTCAATTCCCCCCTCCCCTTGATTCAGAGGAAAACCCAGAAGGGAAGAGGAATCAGCCATCCCCTGCTCCCAAGGCTTTGCTTAACTCCTCAGACTTGGAACACATTCTGCTCAATGCAGTCCTTGCCACTCCCTTTTTAAAAAGCAATGGCCCTTTAAAAAAACAGACAGCTTGTTGGAGGAGGGGGCAGCCTTCATAAAGCCTCTGCATGCTGTTAAGACAACAGCTCTCCTTGGGTGACATCCAGGCTTTGCGTTTTTGACTGGGATCTTCTCATAGCCTACATTGACTTGACTGTGCTTTTCTAGCTATGATCCTGCTGTTACAGTAAGTGCCACTGCTTCAACCTGGTCTCCCATGGGAGTCCTAAACCAATCTATGACATCTCTCTCTCTCTCTCTCTCTCTCTCTCTCTCTCTCTCTCACACACACACACACACACACACACACACACACACAGAGGGGGGGGTTGCTGTTCTATGTTCCCATTAATCTGAACTGTGGAAGTTTGTAAAAGAGAGACATGGCCTCCTCTGTGGTTGTACAACTTCTTTCCAAGGAAGGTTTGCCTTGACCCTTTCTCGACTGGTTTTTAGGTGTCATGTGAAAGACAGATAAGTGAGTCAGCAAGTAGTTGGGCTAATGACAGAGGACCTGAGAGGCAGGGTAGTAGTTTGGCAGGGAGGTTGGTTGGGGCAAACTAATGACAACTCCTTCTACTGCAATGTTCTTCAACTTTTGGCTCCCATATGTTGTTTAGGGAAGTTTTTGATGTTTGAAGTTTTATTCTGTTTTTAATGTTCTGTTGAAAGCTGCCCAGAGTGGCTGGGGAAACTGAGCCAGATGGGTGGGGTAGAAATAATAAGTTGTTGTTGTTGTTGAAGTGTCAGTTCTATCAACCCCAGCTAACATGATGGGAGTTGTAGTTTATTCTTTTTGTAAACCACTTTGAGGGTGTGATATATGTATGACAATCATGTGGTTTCTGAACTTCATGAAATTCATATAAATAATAGTCCAACAACACCTGGGGACCTAAGGTTGATGAACGCTGCCTAATGCCATGTTGCTACAGAGACCTTTCGGTAGCCAGTTAACAATGTCAACTGGAAGATCTGTGTTGCTTTTGACTGAAGTTGTTCTACAACTTGGGATATAGTTTGCCTTGAAATCTTAGTCCTTTGGAGTTTTGGCCAAGTGTTATACTTGGCCCCATGAGCTTTCTTTGTCTAAATGTCAGCTTGACTGTGTCTGGAAGACTCACCCTACACTTTTATTAGGATCAATACTATCCCATGATGAGGACATTTCAATACATTTCAGCTATTTATCCTTTTACCATTTTATACCACTCAGCAGTCAAGCACAATGGCTTACAACTATGGCTTTGTCAGACAAAGCATGCATTGAGTACAGCAATTTGTCTCTTCCTATATAATTTCTGAAAGCTGGGGATGCTATTGTATATTAGCAACATTCTGTTTGTCGTTTCTGTTGCTAGGATATGAGGATGCCACCCACCCTTGCCCCAGTCTATGATGACTTTGTCAATATTAGTTAACATTTCTTCACCCCAACCCTACAAAATCCTAGATATTTTTACAGCTAATATGCAGTATTAAAAATGTTGAATTTGGCAGATTATTCTTGTTTTACCAAGCTTGATTTAGCAGATCATTTTAACAACTGACAATTTGTGACACAGAAGGATGTATATTTAGTTCCAATAAACCACTGATACTCCTCCTGCTTTTCTCTGTCATTGTTAATACTGACAGATAAGTGCTTACTCTGATTCATTTTAGTTGCATCTATCCTACTAAGGATACAGCATAAATGTTTGAAATAGGGGATAATTCTAAATCTCTGAAAGCTAAACAAGAGAGTTACGCAACAGACAGAAGTCTTTGCAGATGCATTGATCATGTTCAAAATGTTCAATAATAGTACAATTGAAGAGTAATGTACAATGTGTCATTTTATGTTAGCTGTATCAATCTTGCATTTGATGTTAAAACATATGAAGCTCCAACGTAAGTTGGATCAGGCCAAAGGCCCATCTAGTTCATCATCTTGTTACATAGGAAGCTACCTTAAAAAGGTAAAGGTAAAGGTATCCCTGCCCGTTTGGGCCAGTCTTGCCAGACTCTAGGGTTGTGCGCTCATCTCACTCTATAGACCAGGAGCCAGCGCTGTCCACAGACACTTCCGAGTCACGTGGCCAGCGTGACAAGCTGCATCTGGCAAGCCAGCGCAGCACACGGAACGCCGTTTACCTTCCCGCTGGTATGTGGTCCCTATTTATCTACTTGCACCCGGGGGTGCTTTCGAACTGCTAGGTTGGCAGGCGCTGGGACCGAATGACCAGAGCGCACCCCGCCGTGGGGATTCGAACCGCCAACCATACGATCGGCAAGTCCTAGGCGCTGAGGTTTTACCCACAGTGCCACCCACGTCCCCTAGGAAGCTACCTTATGCTTAGTCAAACCATTGGATGCATCTGCCTCTGCATTTACACCAACTGGAAACAGCTCTGCAAAATTAAAGAGAAGGTTCTCTCCCAGACCAATCTGGAGATCCCATAGATTAAACCTGAAACCTTCTGCATGCTCCACCACTGAGCTATGGCCCTTCCCCAAGGGTGGCTGCTCAGATGACACTGAGAAGCCAGAAAGCAGGACTTAAGTACAACAGTAAAGATCTATTTATTAAGCACGTCTTATATTCAGTATCTTGTTCTTTGCTCTGAGGCAAAAAAATAAATACACACCATTAACTATTAAATGCAATCATCTTGTTACTTCTTCTTTTGTGGGAGGAAACAGAGCAGTAAATATATTTATTATTAATTATTATTATTATCATTATTATTATTACTAACTTCTAAAGAGACCACATGAACTAGGCTCTGCACATAAGACACAAGTAAGACACAGGTTCTGCCTTCAAGCTTCCAAATAAAAACAAGGCAGGAGGGAATAGAGCTAAAGAGAAATTTGAGATGTGTGAAATCAGTGATGTGGTGCATGAGATCAGCTAGAGTAAATGGAAAAGCTTTTATTTAGAGTCTCTGTACCAATGGAAGGAGTCAAGGGAGGAACACCGGAAGCTGCTTTACAGCAAGGCCCCATCTTCACCATACATTTAAAGCAGCACTATACCACTTTAAGCAGTTATGGTTTCCCCTCCAAAGAATCCTGGAAGTTAAGGGTGCTGAGAGTTGCTAGGAGACCACTATACCCTTCAAATGGATCAATTGCTCTTCCCAGGGAACTCTGGGATTTGAAGCTCTGAGGGGAACAGGGGTCTCCTAACAACTCTCAGTACCCCTAACTCCCATTATTATTATTATTATTATTATTATTATTAGGGCGGGGAGCCATCATTGTTTTAAGTGGCACTGCTTTAAATGTATAGTGCAAATGTCAACCAAGTCAGGCCACTGGCTCATCTACCTCAGTACCGGCCATGGTTTTCGAGGGTCTCATCATGCAAGGCAGATGCTATAGCACTGAGCTACAGCCCTCCCACTTGAGGAGAAAGGGTGCTGCTGGAACTGAAGATACAATATTAAGTTTGTGGGTGACAAGCGTACCAGAGGAGTGAGGACAGCAGAGAGTAAGAAAGAAATGTAGAAAGATATTGCTAGAGGAAAAGAATTCAAAACTTACATACCGCCCTTCCTTTAGCAGTTGTATAATTAGGTGCCAAACAAAGTTACCTTGAGTAAGATCCAAGCATTTGGAATGTAATTGTCCATTTCTTCTTTTTAAACTATTTTCATGAAATTGAGGTACCTGCCTTTTTTTGTCACTGTGCTGTTCAGTGGCGTGCAGTCAGTGGACTGGGGGACTAGGCTAGTCCCCTAAATATTTCCCTGGCACCTCCTTCCCAAGGCCTGGGAAGTTTCTGCCTAGCTTAGGGAGGGAGGCACGATGCTTCAATGAGTCCAAGAGTCCTGTTGCTGCCTTCCCACATCCTGCCTGGCTTTGGGAAGGAAGCAGGAGGGTTCCAGCATCCTGCCTGAGGCCTGGTGCCTCCGTCCCAAAGCCCAGGGAGCTTCTGCCTGGCTTACGGAGGGAGGCGCAATACTCTCATGCATGGTGTCAAGACGATTTTTCCCTTTTCCCCATGCTGCAATCACCCTCACAAGCTGGTGCCTCTGGCCCTAACTGTTCCTCTACACAAAAATTCACCACATGCCATTGCTTCTGTTGTAGGTAAAGTTCAGGTTCCTCTAAGAGAATCCTACACAGCGGCACTTGAAAAATGCAAAATGATTCCTCTTTTTGAGGTAATGTCCTGTGTCATGAACTAGGCTGATCATTTCATTTCTACAAGAATAGATACCTTTCATAAGAAACTCCTCCTCTGGATAGTCCTGAGGGAGAGTTGTTGGGTGTGTGAATATTTAGGGAGTCCGTCTGTCATCAGCGACCATTTATTTTCCTAGTTTGACATTTTTATCTTTAAGGAGCACACTTTCTGCATAACATAATCAAGCTTCCTATTCCAGAACAGCATCTGCAATGAACAGGCTACCCTCTGCTATGAATGCCAATCTCATTTCCAGTTTCTTACAGTACATTCAACAAAAGCCAAACATATAGTGCTAATGTTTCACTGTATGTTTCACTGTTCTGGTCTTCCCCCAAAGAATTCTGGAAAACTGTATTTTACCCCTCACAGAGCTACAATTCCCAAGTTTCCTGAGCCATGTGTTTTAAATGTACTATGTGTGCACAGCCAATGGTTACGACACTTTAGGGTGGGAGGGTATGTTTCTAAAACTAGGTTTGGGTGCAATGATGGCAGGTTAGCAAAAACCTTGCTTGACCCCAAGTCTCCCCACAGTGCGAAATATGTGATTTATTGTCAAGATATAACAGCAGAGGCTGAAAAGCTATTTGCATATGTGGATTAATCCTGCATTGACACAGAAACAAGTATGAAGCACATATGGTTTGCTCCAATATCAGCAGTATAATACTTAAAACGCAAATTAGCATCTCCTCCTAACTATTATAATGACAGCAGAAAGGGTTTTTATAGGAACACATTGCACTCATATGGCTAAGCACACCATTTTCTTCAACTGCAGGTTGGCATAGGAGAGGCTTGATTGAGTGCTTGTTTCAAAATATTAATACAGTGGTACCTCGGGTTAAGTACTTAATTTGTTCCGGAGGTCTGTACTTAACCTGAAACTGTTCTTAACCTGAAGCACCACTTTAGCTAATGGGGCCTCCTGCTGCTGCCGCGCCGCCGGAGCATGATTTCTGTTCTCATCCTGAAGCAAAGTTCTTAACCTGAAGCACTATTTCTGGGTTAGCAGAGGCTGTAACCTGAAGCGTATGTAACCCAAGGTACCACTGTAGGTCACATTTTAACATAAAACTTTCTCAAGGTGGCTTGCATGAGAACCATTTAAAAGTACCACTTCAACAATAAAAAAAAGAAAAGCAGAGCGAAAACACACACTACAATTTCTTCAAGAGACCCACAATGTCCCTAGGTGAATAATGTTGCCCCAGGACCAGTACTGAAGTAAGATTCATTTGCCACTGAGGTCAGTTTCTGTATGTTGAACAGGGGTGTCATTTTTCCCTCTGCCTCAAGCAGAAAAATATCTTGGGCCATACCCTGCAGTACAGGCAACCCTTCATTTTCGCATGTTCAATAAGTGCCTGACCGTACATACACGCATTGTGCCAAACCTGAAAATGTTACAAAAACATCACAAAAAGAGGTGGAACAGGAAGGGGTGGGGTGGAATGGGGTTTGCAGGCTTTTTACACTGGTGTTTCAAATATACACAATTCCACGTCAACGCATGGAGCCTCGGAGCATAAACCCTACGTAAATAGGGAGTTGCCTGTACAAAAACATATATTCCTACAAAAATCTGACTATACCTGCTTCTTGTCAAATGCAAAGGGTGCTGCAATGTACAATTTATCACCTTTTAACAACAAAAAGAATGGGGTTTGATTATTTCCCATTTGTTCTTCTGATTGTTTTAAAGGGATACCAACTGAGTTTTACTATACTCCCTGTCCACACTTGATTAAAACACTTGTATATTTGGCAACTAGCTATCCAGATGAAAAGGCAAAATAAAAAGTGAGAATTGGCCATCAATCAATGTTTATTCCTGTCTGTCCAATGTGCCAACCAGACTGTAAATCTCCGGCTTTGGATAGTTAATTTTATTTCCCCGTCACAGTAAATTTTAGCCTGTTACATGATTAGCCAGTTTTATTTTTATTTTTATTTTTATTTTTTGCACTGCTTGGTTTGGATTGCAAGGTTGGTTTTATGGAGACAGAATTATTTAATCGCTGTGCATCTACTTAGAATGAAAAAACTGTAGGTTTCTGTGTTCTTTTATCCTGCTGCTATGTTGTATGTTGTGCTTTATATTGTATGAGTTTTAATGAATATTTTAAAATTATCCTTAATGACATTTGAAGAAAGATGGCTTATAATTTTTTTTAAATATTTTTAAAAAAATAATATTTATTAATAATTTCAGAATTACAGGAAAAAAGAAAAAACAACACTACAATACATAAAAAGAAGAAAAAACACAAAACATAAAAACCAATATAACAATACAGCAAAAAAGAAAATAAAAAGGGAAAAAAGATACAAATCCCATATTACATATCTTTAACTTCCATTTGCTTGTTTCGTTGACCTCCTCACACCTCCCTTTTTGTATTCTAGTTTAGTTAGTTATTTCAGCAAATTCTTTCCATCTTTCTCAATTTTTATTAAATAATTTATCTTAACAATTTAACCTGTTAATTAACTCGACAGATCCTTTCCATCTTTCCCCATATTCTGTTATTCAAATTACCTTAATTTATTTAACCTTATCTTACCATAAAATACCTTAAAGCTTAAAACTTAATACTCAGTTATACATAACTCCTGATATCATTTCTGCTAGAGTCATATAGTTTCATTCCAACATTTTCCCTAATATTCATTAATTTTGGGCTAATTCCCTAAATAAAAAATTTTCTTTATAAATTTTTTTCCAATCTTCATCCAACATCTCTTCTTCCTGGTCTCAGGTCGTGTCAGTCCTTGCTGTCCATTCCATCTAGTCCATCAACCTGGAAGTCTTATGTCCGAGGCCCTTAAGTCTCTTCCATGTCCCTTCTGCAAATCTTCTTCTTCTTGTTTATACTTGCACTTTTCCTTGTCTTTTGTTGGTCTCTTTCTTAATTTCTTTCCTTTCTCATTGAGGAGTAGGTCTCTGGGGGGTTCCAACCCAAAGTTATCTCCGTCTCCCTTCATCAAACCAGCCCATTCCCCACAGTCCCACTCCCCACAGTCATCAATATAATCCAAAAAAATATTTACGAGCATATTTCGAAGTCTCTCCAAAGTTAAAAGCCTCCTCAGCTCCAGACTCCCCCTGGCCCACTCCAACTTCAATCTTCAAAAGCAGCGGCTTATGCTCCTGTAGGGCCTTGGGCCTCTCCATTTGTATTATTTGAGGTGCAACCACAGCCTCCTCCATTATCTTCTGCACTTGCCCAATCAATACAGGTTCCTGAGATGGATCCTGGATGGTTTCTGTATCACTATTCACTATTTGTCCACAGTTATTGGCCACAACAGTCATCAAATCCATTTTCTCATTCATCAAATCCATCTTCTCATGCATCTGTTCCAACAAAGCACTTGTCTTGCATAAAGCAAGCACCAAAGCTTCCTTCCAGCTCATATTTAGTCAAGGTCAAAAGGACTAATCCCACGATCTTAATCTCACAGCTGTGGAATCCTCAAGCAAACTGCAGCAACAATTTAGCAGGCTCCCTCTAGGGGAGACAATTTCTATTTGTATCCATCTTTTTAAGGCAAGTCCAACAAAGGAAAATTACTTTCATTTTTCAGATATTTTGTTTCTTTAGAATGCAAAAGGCAACATTGGAATCAGTTTATTTCTCTTCTTCAGCTATCTGTCAAAGTATTCCATTCACAGTCAATGAACCTCTCCAGCAATTTCTGTCTCTGACACCCCGTTCCCAGGTTAGAGATGGTGGAAACTTATCTTTCTTCACTCCCTCTCCTGCAGGCATTACACAAAGTCCCCCCCCCCTTTTCTCCTGCTTCCAAGGGGGTTTCAGTAGTTATAAATGAAGGAAATTTAGGCTTTTTTAACGACTTTCCAGGCTTTAGCTTACAAGGTTTTTGCTTTAGTCTATGTACAAAAAGCGGAAGGTGGACTTCCTGTTTTGAACCTTCCCGCTTCGATGTCAAATTAAGATATTTCTTGATCCAATTTTCCGTTTCTACTCACGGGTACTTGTTTTAAATCCAATTGTCCACTGGAAAAAGTCAGCGCTCTCCGGCGATGGCTGTGCGGCTTCACTCCGTAAAAGTAGCAGTCAGTTCGCAGCACCGCGCTGCTCGCCCCACTTCACTCCGGAATCCCAAAAAGGGGTTCCTCGTGAGTAGGGGGCGCTCCTGGTGCCCTGCCGAACCCCACGTTCCCAGGCTTCCTCCGCCTGGGATTTCTGGCGGGTCCCCACCTTCGCCGCAGCGGGAAGACCCAGTTTCCACAGAGCCAGTTCCTCCGGTCGGAGGAACTCCGCCATTCGCCGATGGCGCTAACCCGGAAGTCTCTATAATTTTTTTAAAATAAAGCTCCAAGTCCATAAACACAGATGAGGAGAATGGGTGGGAATAATG